AATGCCGTCAAGCCCGGGTTCATGAAGGAGCGCGAACTCAAGGACGCGCACTTGGCCGACCTGCAGCACCTCTACCAGCAGCTCTACTGGATCCCGGTCGTGCAGGCTCTGCCGGACGTGGTCGGCGCAGCCACCGACTTGTCGGAGCTCTGGTACAAGGAGTTTTACCTGGAACTATCGAAACAGATCCAGTTCCCGATCGAGACGTCGTTGCCGTGGATCTTGATCCACCAGATTCTCGATTCGTCGGCGGTCGACTTGACGCACGCGCTGTTTGTGCCGTTCTTGATTTACGACGATGCGGCCAACCGCGCGCTGAACGAGTTGAAGATGCAGTACCTCTACGACGAGATTGAGGCCGAGGCGAATTTGGCGTTTGACCTGTTCTTGCACAAGTACTCGCACATGGTTTTTGCGCACTTCAAGTGTAAGGCCGCGTCGCTCTACCTCGGCGAGGCGCTCAAGGCCAAGATGGGGAAAGCCGCCGGGATCGAGGTGCCGCTGCACCAGCACGAGCATATCATGCGGCATTACAAGACAGTCAAGGTACGTGTTGCTCTTCTTGTTCCCGTCACGCGCGCTCGCGTGTCCCTTACTCCGTCTGAGCGACCGCTTTCCAGATTCTTGGGCGCACGATCCCGTTCCAGCAAATCCTCGGGCAAAAAATCAACCTGCTCTTCCGCAACTCGCTCGAGGCCATCATTTCCCGCTTCGAATCGTCGAGTCTCACGGCGGTCATGGAGCTTGAGACGTTGCTCGCGATTGTCCGGGCCACGCACGAGCAGCTCGGGCAGCACCTGAGCCTCGACGCGTTTGACGACATGCTCGCCGAAGTCGACGAAGTGCATGTCGGCCACGGCCGCATCGTGGGCCACTTGGCGGCGGAATTGACGACCGACTTCGCGCGCCATTTCGCGTACAACGGCATCACAGACCGGTTCATTCGCAGTCCGATCCAGGTCGCGGAGCGGATTCAGCGTCCGCCGGTGCGGCAGCATAAGCACGAGTACCTGTACGGGAACAAAGTACGGGTTGTTGCAGGCCGAGTGGGATCAGATTGCGACTGGTGAACTGACGACGTGGTTTGGCTGCTGGTTAGCCACTCAACCAAGCGTTTTCGACCCAAACGGCGCCGTTCCTGCTCTACGTCGGCAAGGCGCACTTTGATGCGATCGTTCGGCTGCTCGGCACGCGCGTCTCGCTACTCTACTCTGACATCCTGGCTACGTTTGAGGAGCTGGTTTGTTTGCACACCCGATTTGCATTCACCGGAAACCGTTGCGCACACTCACTCTGCACGCGACAACGCATCTAGATGAAGGACAAGATGACGCCGTTCCTGTGGGCGCTGACGCGCGAGTTTCCGAGCACGCTCAAGCTGCCCGGGCTCGACTATGGGGTAATGGGCACGTTCGAGTACTTTCAGTTCATTCTCAAGCCGCTGCTCTCGTTCAAGGACCTGCCCACTGTCTACCAAGTGTTCCGCGAGCTCGGCAATCTGTTCCTGTCGATCAAGTTCCTCGAACAGTCGATGGCACGCGCATTCGCGACTGCAATCTGCGTCCACGATCTCAAACTGACAACATCCTGTCTCATTCACGCATGTAGAAGGGCGGCGACGTGCTGCGTCAATACCAACTCCCGAAGCCCGACGCGGTCACCTCGTTACTCCAACAATTCGGCGACCACTTTGACCTCCCCCCACCCCCCGACCCGCTCGCATCCGACCTCGACCAACTCGTCGCGCACGCGACCGCGCTCGACCTCGTCGCCATGTTCGTACGCACGATGCGCCCGCTCGTGCACTCCCTCGCGCCACTCTGGCGCGAAGGGATCGAGCCGGCGTCGGCCACACCGACCACCTCGACCTCAGCGCCATCCACGGTCCCGGGCGCGCTAGCGTACGATACGGCGCGCGACTACTACCGCATCTTCTCCTTTTTACACTTTTCCTACTGCCTCGGATCCAACTACACGCGCGGCCACTCGTGCCGCGCGGTATTCGGCGACTCGTTGCACTGGGCGGGGGCGCTGTTGCTGTGCTTGAACGACCAGGTGGAAGTGTTTACTGCGCTGGATTTCACGGCGCACGTGTGCCATGCGGCATCTCTTGCGGACGGGACGGCGAGTATTGGGGCCGCGAATGCGGGCACGGGGAACAAGCCGGCAACGGCGTCGTTGGCGGAATTCACGGCGCAGGGCGAGTATTTTGGCCAAGTGTGTGCGGCGGTCGCGGCGTATTACAAGGCGGTCGTCGGGAACGACAAGTATTGGGAGCGGGTCGCCGCTGCGGCGCCGTTGCGGCCGCCGGCGGAGGCGAAAACGGGAGGGGCGGCGAGGCGGAATACACATTCGCATGATGTGGGGGCGGCGTGAACGTGGGTGGCGGGAGATGAGGGACTGAATGGGAGAGATGGGCGACTGGGAAGCTGGGGAGGCAGGTGGAGAATGGCAATGAACGGACGGTTTGGTGTGGATCGCTTGGGTCGGGTTGATCAGACGCAGCTGGCGCAGACCGAGGCGGTGGACTCGCTCGCCAGGCGGGTTGCGCATCGGTCGGACGTGGGAGGACATGTGCGTCGAGCCGTGCTCGTCGGACGCGGACGATGCGAGCCAACGCGCGGGTGCGAGACGAGCCGGTTCTGGTGCGAAGCACGACGTGACTTGAGTATGACAGCTCCCAGGCAGGCAGTCGATGCTCGAGGTGTGCGGCTTGGTAAAACGCGACCCAACGCGACGCAACTCATCATCGGCGACCACCATCGACCTCACACCCACGACGCTGCCGTCCACCCTACTCGCCTGCAACGCTCACGAGCATTGTCGCCATGTCCGCTATGCCGATGCCCGACCCGGGCATGATGCCGCCCGTCACCTCCGCCCCGAGCCCCGCCCGCGCCCCCGCCGCGACCGTCATCAAGGCGACCTACTTGCACGAGACGCGCCGGCACGTGCTCGCCTACCCCGGCAGCCAATTCGCGTCGCGCACCACCATCACCGACGTGCGCTCTGCCGTGCACGGCATGTTCCGCGCGACCTTCCCGACCGGCACCAACCCGTCGGACCTAAGCCTCAAGTACCTCGACGACGACGGCGACTGGGTCGTGCTCGACTCCGACGCCGACGTGGCCCACGCGCTCGACCTAGCATCGACGCTGCGGCTGCGCGTGACGGTCCGCGGGAGCGAGCCGGATCTGTCGCGTGGTGCCGCGGCGGCACTGCACGATGCGCTCACGGGAGTCCGCACGTCGCTCGACGCAGTGATTGCGGTAGTAGCCCGAGCGCAGGATCGCGGTGCGCCGCTCGCCGCGGATGAGTTGGCGGCATTGTTGGACGCGACGCGGCTGCACCGGCCCACGCCAGCGCTGCCTTACGCGGCCCACGAACGAACCCGCCCCAACGGCCAAGCCTCCCGGTGGCGGCCGTGCCGTCCCCAGCGCTAGCGCCCGCGGTCCCGCAACAGTCGACCGGGTCCACCTACCCGCCGCAGCCGCAGCAGCAGCAGCCCTACCCGCCGATGCCCGGCCCAGCAGCCGCAACCGCTGCAGGGGCCGCCGCAGCAGGCCTACCCGTACCAGCCGTATGGGAGCGTGAGTTCGGCCTACCCGCCGCCGTCGGGAGCGGGGCCCACGGGGTACCCGCCGCAGGCGCCTGTGCGGCCGACGTCGACGGGACCCGCGCCGTACCCGGGTGCCGCGCCCGGCGCATACGGTTCGATGCCGCACGGCCAACAGCAAGGGCAGCAGGTGCAGGGGTATCCGCCGTCGTACCCGCCGCAGCAGCAGCAGCCGCAGCCGTATGGGGGTAGCGGGTACAAGTACTGATGATGCGTGTCGGGAGCGTGAACGATTGGAGATGTGATGATTTGGGAACATGAGAGGGCGTTGAAATAGGAATGATGTTGATGAGATTGGGACTTGGGACTACTTGCCGTCTGCCTGTGAGCATCAGAGTCTTAGACACCAACTCGGTCCTCCGGCTTGTCGTCGATACGAGCCAGTGGCCTGAGAACGCGCACTGCCGACCGCTGATACGTTCCAGAAAGAATAAGTCGTCTTGATTTCGTTTGGCGGCTCACGTCTATCAATCAGCGCTTGCTCAGGCATTAACATTAGTAACACGACAAGAACATGCATTTGGAACACACGCCTCTATTGTATCCCATTAAGAGCGACAAGGTTCATTTTCTAGGGCCATAAGAGAGGAGAGGGGGGGGGGGGGGCGGACGTGGCTGCAGTGGTGACATGCCTGAGCAAGCGCTGATTGATAGATGTGAGACGCCAAACGAAATCAAGACGACTTATTCTTTCTGGAACGTATCATCGGTCGAGTCTCGACTTGCAGAGCATATTTTTCTCGCATCAGAGAGACAGCAAGCAAAAAAGTTGTCCCCTGTGGCAGTCTGACGTGGTCTCCCGTCTGACGTGGACACCCGTAACTGGCGAATGCGTATTTTACACCAAGAACGCCTTTCAAGTCAAAGCATGACAGCTACACCTGTGGACGAAAAGTGCGAAGGTGCGTCCCAAAGCACGTTTGTAACATTAATAAGCACAGGCTCCTGCTGGGCCTCCCCTCATGGGCCTGAGTAGCCAGCAGAAGTTGGAGGAAGCTGGATTCTCCAAGCCATACACTTGCCTTGCAAAGCTCTCTGCACTTGGAGAATGCTTGATCTCTGTCTGGGCCTCCCCTTCTCAGGTCTGAGTAGCCAGGCGGAGAGCGAACAAGTGTGGATAGTGGAGCGGCCATGCTCTTGCACAAATTGATCATGCCAGGAGACGTGTAAGGTGTGCACCACAGCTGAGGGTGAGTTGCTGTGCTGCTGCTAACCCAATGAACGAAATCCGACCATTCAGAAGCATCAAGCGTCAGCATCAAGCGTCAGCATCAAGCGTCAGCATCAAGCGTCGACATCAAGTATCAGCATTGCATTCCAAGCTTCAAGCTTCAAGCAAAACCCTGACCCCCTCTGGGGGGTCAGACCTTTGTTTCTTATGTTTGTCTACTTGGTGAAATTTGGCATATGCGAGTCACTTAAAATGACTTACCAAGAGGTGTACTGGTTCAAGTCCAGTAGTAGACACTGTAAACCAGTTCCAGAGGGGCCCCTGGTCATGACAGCCCTACAGGAAAAATGCCTTACCAAGGGGTGCAGTGATTTTACTTCATTCATAGACAAATCACTTGAAGTCGAATTATATACACAACTTAACATCTCTTCAAGATGTGTCCGCTCTTTGGGCTGTAGCCAAGTTGGAAAGGCAGCGAGTTTTGATCTCGCCTATTGGTGGTTCACCATCAATTGACCATCCAACATTGAGCACAAAACCTGATCCAGGCAATGTTTGCATGCAACAGTAGAACAGATGGCGTATGTTGCACCCTTAATAACAGCCAAAAATCGGAGGCAGCTCATCTCACTTGAGCTGGCATAGGATTGCTCGAGCAATTGCGCAGTTGGTTGTGGTAGCTGGAAGAAAGAGTGCGATCAGCGGTTTGACCGTGGTGAAGATGCTTGCTGGTGGTGCCTCAAGGATCCTGATTGGCAGTGACGACAGCGCCTGCCAAGTTTAGGCTGTCTGTTCTACGATGATCTGATGAAACTCATCGCAGCGACGCTGATGCTGCAAAGATGTTGCAAGACTGCGTGATCACGACGCAATCGTCCCGGTTTCGTTGATCGGACTCAGAGGCGGGACGTCACGCTCTGATGGCCGCAATCGGGCGAGCGCTGAGCTTCGGCATCAGTTCCATTCTTTCCATATTCAATTCAACATTTCTGTCCGACAAGGGACTCCAGGTGGGGTGGAGCAAAAGAAGGTGGGCAAGCAGCGGTTGCCCAACAAATCAAGGTGTAGAGAGCGCAAGCGAAGGCAAGGCAAGACAAAGCAAGCAGCAACAAAGCGAGCGGAAGCGGTATTTCCATGAAAACATTTCTTCTTTCAGCGGCTCTTCAAAGCACGAACGGACTAGATACCTAAAGAGAAAGAACGACAAGGCAAAGAACGAACGAGAAACAACAACAGTGCGCAAATCAATCCACCCGACAGACTAGCAATGCCCCGGGTCAGCGCGACAAACAGGACCAGCAGAATAAAAATGAACAACAGCCGAGGGCACGGCGGCCCCCGCCATCAAGAGAACGGAGCACGGGGACGCAAACGGGGAAACGAGCACGAGCAACAGCACATCCGCAAACCCAAACGAGAAGCAGCAGCAGCGACACAAAAGCACAACGACGACGACGACGCGCACACACACGGAGCGAGCGCGCTTACTGGCGGCGCAGACCGACCTGGAAGTGCAGGTTCTGCAGCATCGCGAGACCGAGCGTCGCCGGCTCGCGCGCGATCGCGGCGGCAGCCGACGCCGACGCTGGGACCACAGGTGCGGCGGCGGCGGCGTGGTGCTTGGGCTCGTCGTACGGGAACGGCAGCGCCGTCTGGAGCAGTTCGTAGGTCATGAGCGTGACACCAAACTGCGGCGACGAACGGAAAATACGGGCAGGCCCGCCCTTGAAGAAGGCCTTGAACCCTTCCTCCTTCCAGATCTTGCTCGCCGCGTCGGAAATGCCAGTGTAGACGGTCTGGCCCTTGCGCGCCTCAACTTGCAGCCGCGTCTTGATCACGTCAGCGGGCGTCGTCAGGTATGCGGCGGGCATGCCGGCCGCGGCACCGGCCAGAAGGAGCTCAATACCGGTCAGCGGCTTCTCGGGCGTCTCGTGGAACACGTTCTTCTTGAGGTGCGCGTAGCACGTGAAGTAGATACCCGAGAACGGGATATCGCGCAGCAGGCATGCGCCGGCACCCTTGTAGAGACCCATCAGACCGAGCTGCCGGATGATCGAGATGGCCGACTGCTTGACGGGCGCGACGGGAGCGGGCTGACCCGCAGCAGCGGCAGCGGCGGCAGCGGCGGCAGCGTGCGACATGACCTCACCCTGCACTTGCAACCGAATCTTGACGATTTCCAGCGGGTTCGTGAAGATGACTTGGGACCCACCGGCCGTGCACCCGGCCAGAATCTCGCCCCACAGCGGGATCTTGCCCGTGTCCTTGTCGGTGACGAGACTGCGGACCAGGTCGTTCATCGTCAGCTTGATGGCCTTTTCGGGCGCGACACCAATCAACTGTGGCCCAAGCCCCGAGTAGAGACCGCGCAGGCCCTCGGCCTTGAAGACCTTGCGGAAGCAGTCGATCGAGTTGCGGTAGAGCAATTCGCCGGGCACGGCCGAGCGCTGGTTCTGCATGCGCGTCTTGACGAGATCGATCGGGTAGATGGAGAAGGCACCGACGGCACCGGCCACGGAACCGAGCGCGAAATGGTAGGCCGACTTGAGCATCTTCTGCACGGGCGTCAGATGGTCGTGGTCGCCTGCAGCGTGCGCGGAAGGAGCACGCATGACCGCGGCCGGCGGCGCCGGCGGGGCGCGGCCCAGCAGGTGTGCGAGAGCGGCTGCGGGGAGCGCAACTGTCGTGTCGTCGGAACTCGGTGCCTGGACGCCCGCGAGCGACGCAACCGCGACCAGGAAACGGCGCGAGAGACGCGCGGCACCGTCAGCGGCCGTCAGCTCGGCCTCTAGATATCATCCAACGCCGGAAAAAAGTAGGCAGATGCAGTGAGCCACAGTTCATCTCGAACCATAGGATGCGAGGTCCCCAAATCGTACCGAGCGCCAAAACGTCGCCGAGCGTCACGTAACCGACCGTGTTGATATCGGTAGCGCGGAAAAGAGCACGCGCAGCGGCCTCGGAAGCGTCGGGCACAACGGCGCGAATGGCAACGACAAAGTCGGCCTCGGTCATGGCGGCGGCGCCCGTAGCCGGGTCGCGCGTCGACGAGACGGCGGCAAACGCCGTCGAGCGTTCTTCAGAGACGGGGAGGGCCATGGTGGCGGAGGAGGGCAAACAAACGACCAACGAGGGATCTAGGAGCGATAAGCGAGCCAAGGATGGTCAGTCGGTTGGCCGGCAGTGCATTTGGTGTTGCCGTCGACCGAACAGCATCGTTGTCGTGCTCATCGTCGTCGCTGTCGCTCTCGTCAAGTTGACATCATGCTCGCGGTGCTAGCTGCCCTTGCAGCTTCTGCATTTTCGCGAGATCATGGGCTGCGGCTTCAGGGACGGGGGCTCGGGGCTGGACATGGCGACGACACGGCGGCAGCGGCAGCAGACGGACACACACCACAACCAGGAACGTCGGCGGCACAGTGGCGGGCAGCTTGGCGAGAGTCGACCAGAGGCACGGCGGGAGGATAAGAGGAGAGCGAGTGCCCTGGGCGGCGGCTGTGGATGGCGGGCTTTGGAGTGCAATCACCGCCAGCGATCAACCGCTCCACTTTTTCATTTTCCCTTTTGCCCAGCACCCACCGCAGGGCCAACTTGGCCCACGCAGACCACTGATGACCTGACTGTGCCGCTCTTCGTTTGCTGCCGTTTTCGCGCGCGCCTTGCACGCATCTGGCATGAACCGAGAGCGAAATGCTCGTCCGCCACTTTTCCGACCCGCAGCGCCGGCGAGCCGAGTTCTGACGTCGTTGGCAGGAATGGAGGTGATTTGCGCCAAATAGCGTCGAAATGACGCTGATCTCTGCGTATTTTGATGTAAGCGCCACAGAAGCCTTGCACGAGCCGCACCGACCCGCAGAATCAGCCCAGAAAACCCCAAGTTCTTGGCTCTTGCTGCAGGGACTTTCGCCAAACCGCAGGCGTGCCGAGTGTGTCGAAGGCCGGGCAAGCTCGGCGATTTTCACCGAGATGAATGCATGCGAGACATTTTCTCATAGCATGCCACAGGTCTCAGAGAGCGGCTGCAGAGCACGTGCATGGCTGATCACAGTGCGAGACGCTCTTCGCGCAGCTTTCCTTTGGCCACGCAGCGTTCTCGAGCTCTCTCTCTCTCTCTCCAAGTCGTGCGACCACTACGCCAATCTGCTGCAGATCATTTCGACCACCAAAACGACCGCCCACACACGTTTTCTCTTGCTGCAATCATGTCCACTGACCGCCCATGGACCATTCTCGACGACAAGGCCATCGAGGTCTTCCCCTACTTTGACGACGACCCGCCAAAGGAAACCGACTCTGTATGTCATCGACCAATACTCTCGCTCGAACCGATAAACGGATCTGGGCCATTCTCGCAATTTGATTTGTGTTGGACGATGTTATGGTCCAGTTCAATTGAATCGCCGAAATAAATTTCGTGATATGGCTGCTGAACACGCCAAACCAGAGCCTGCGATTGATCGATCATGGTGCAACTCACGAGCCATATTTTGACTAGGATCATGATACCTTGGAACCCGTACGCTCTTCCTCGACCTGTGGTCGTCTCGCCGGCACGAGCGGGGAGTGGTTTGGACATGGGCCGCGATCTTCATCCCACGGCTCCTTACCGACACTGCGGATTGCTTGTGCAACGATCATGGTCGTCGATTTGTTTGCTGATCTCACGTCCCTACTCTCCACCAGTTGACCATCCCAAATGGCCCCAGCTGCAAAGTACGCGTCGCTTTCCCCACGGCGCCGAACACCGCAGCGCATCGGGTGCTAATTACGTCCGCACTGCTCTGTTTTGTTGCTGACGCGACGCGACTGCGTTCTAGTACCTTCTGGCCGCGCTAGCCAAGCACCGCGGGCTCGACTACGTGCAGAGCGATCCGATCCTGTCCCTGCTCCGGTCTGATACGAAAAAGGGCCACTCCAAGTGGGCCAGTAACGAGTGGATTGGCCAAGAGGAGCTCTATGAAGCGTGCGAGCGCGTCTTGACCACGCTCCGATCCAATGTCGGTGCTGCCCTGTTCCCGATCTCTCCGCTTTCTCCGCTTCTTTTTTCGCGCTCACCAACTTGTCAAACCGCGCATCTAGTCCGACTTCAAAGCCTTTGTCAACAGGGTATCGGTGCGCGACGTGCCCGATTACTACACGAGTACGCTCTCGTCATGTTTTCCCTGCTTTGCGGCTTGACATGCCGCTGACCGCGCCGTTCCCGGTGGCCAGTCATCAAGAACCCGATGGACTTTACGCGGATGCGCAACAAGATGCTCCAGTTCGAGTACAAGAGCAAAAACGACTTTCTCAA